ATCGGCCAGCGACTGAAGCTCTGGAAACACAACCAGGTATTGACGAAGTGTCATTTCTAATCTTCCTCAGGTAAATGATAGTAATTCGTATTCGTTTCGGGCTACACTGATGTAAAAAATTGTTAAAAACTAAATATTTCGGCTTTATTGAGTAGCCTTGTTCACTGGTTTGAAATATGTAATACAAAAAGACGGTACAAATGTGATGACATGCGAAACAGGTTCGTGCTATCAATGATCTGTGACTTCCTTTATGCACAGTGTAAAAAAAGAAGTCACAGATCATTGATAGCACGAACCTGTTTCGCATGTCATCACATTTGTATCGTCTTTCTGTATTTCGTATTTCAAACCAGTGAACAAGGCTACTCAATAGAGCCGAAATATTTGTTTTTAACAATTTTTTACCTCAGTGTAGCCCGAAACGAATACGAATTACTACTGAAATACAACCAGTTTAGTGTCGAATTTTGATCATGTTTATCATGTGTCGTCGATATTATTGATACCATGTTTAATTGACATGTCTGAAGCCATTAAATACCATGGTCCACAAAGAAACGGACATAAAACATCCTTTACCCATCGGCTGAGTTTTTTTTTTTTTGCACCGAGCTTGAAGCCTTCCGTAAGTCGTGCATAGAAACAACCCATGCGACGGATTCCGCTGCGCCGCCTCGCTCAACGCCAGCTGTGTCTTGTATTTGTGTTCACCAACCCATCGGCCATCACTGCAGTGATTTGCCCCTGCCCATGTGCAGGTCCCTTGAGGACCCTACATCGGATCATTATACATCCATACATCGGCCTGGCACCCACGCCGGCCTCAGAGCTATCCAAGCTGACACGTGGCGAGCGCTTCCCGAAAATATCGATCGCCAAGTCTCAGATGTCCACTTAATTTACGTGAGAGCCAAACATTCCGATAACCGGTGACGCCAAAGGGCGAGGCTACCAACAGAACAGATGATCCATGGCCGTCTGACCTCGTGCGTGGCAGCGGCCGTCCCTATCCTCGAAATAACTTTGCGGTCAAATTTATCCCTTTCGGTCAAAATTATCCCTAGCCCTTTCGGATGTTTTCTAGGTTCATTGTTGACCGCTTCTTCCCCGGTTCAGGCTTAGGACGCTTTGATGGATTAAAAATGTCTGCAGCCAGCTTTCTTTTGTACGATATTATTACACAATACATTACACATTTTGTAACGCTCCTTTGACGAAAGCGAGAAAAATAGCATAAAGCAAAGTAGCAATGCACGAGTTGACAGTTCGAAGAATTAGGCTCATTATGAGACTCCGTAGGAATTTTGGAGGGAAATTAAAAAAGCGTCTGCATTTTATACTCCCGGTGTTAGTGTGACAACTCTGAAAACAATTTTAAATTTAAATTTTTGTTGGGTTAGGCCCTTTCGGTCGACAAGACCATTGCAGAGCCGGAAGGATGATAGGAATTAGGGGGAGACATTGGTCTGGGCAGGTACCCTAGTGAGTAGCCGGGGCTGAGCCCGTCCAGAGGACAGGCCACCCAGCCCCAAGGCACTCACTGCACCCGGCTACGGGGTGCGCTCCCTCGGGAGCAGCGGTGCCGCTCCAAGGGAGCAGCCCGCATGAGATAAAGTTGCCTGTCCAGCCCGGAAGGGGGTTGCGGCGTGGAGGAGAAGGATTTCAGTTTCCTGAGGATAGAAGCACGGAAAGGTGAAATTTGAAAACAATTTCCAACCGGTGGGCAGCATTCATCATAAACACGAAGCTTCAAGCAAGTCATTGCAGAAAGCACAGTCAAACCAAACATCGATAGCGCGGCGTTGATTGGTGACCGGCAGTAGGTCAGGGTCAGGTAGTCGGCCAATCGGCGACCTCCGCCCCGAGGCGCGGTCACGTGATCGACTGCGCCTGGCGGGCCTGGCGGCCGAGGCCCGGACAGAATGGGCCGGAGCGCGGTAGGGTTTGGTTGTGTGTCCACAGAACTGTCTGTAATCGCTGCAGCTGGTAGCTCCGTTCGTTACTTATGGTTTTAGCTCAACTTGGTATTATTTTTCAGTCGGAAAGACCGCCACGCATCCATCGGACACGCAGTAGAATTTCCTTTGGAACAAACAGCTAGTCATCGAACTTCGAAGTTGTAACAGCCAACAGGCTCAGAGTCGTCCAATGTCCATGGTGCTCGGCGCTACCGGCCGTCAGAGCTCCGCGCAGCCCCTGGTGTCTCGCGATTCTCCGCTTCATCGACCTTCCTAAAGGAGTCCTCGTAAATTCCGCGTCCAGGAAATCGCAAGCGAGAGCCTCTTCAAATACATTATCCCTCGCATGTGTGCGGCGTTTGCCAGCTTCTAATGTGTAGGGGGGGGGTCGGTTGGACCCCCCCTTGCCGTTTGGCCCCTGATCGAGCTAGAGCTTCGCGGAAAAAACGAGCGTGTTGCCCGCGACGAGAGGAAGCCGATGATACCCAATTTTAAGGTCATTGGTTGACCTTCCAGGTCAGGTCAATGACCCAAAGTCGGGAAAATCGGGACCTGTTAGAAAGTCGTAAAGTGTGGCTGCTAAGGGGTTTTTCGGGGTGCTGATCACGAATATCGTGTTAGTTTTGATCACAGATGATGTCTTGAAGCATTTAGACCAGGTCGGGTCAGGTCAGGTCAGGTCAACCAGTAGGCGTCGTGATGGGTATTCGTAGTACGTGTCAACCGCCTCTGACAGCTTCGTAACATGTTACGAAGTCACCAAAACTGCTTCGTAAATGTTCAAATGGTTGCTAAATTCGAATTCAGCTCCAAAAACTAGCCTAGAAACATGTAAAACTCGAAAAAGTGACCCGAGGTCACCCGAGGTCACCAAAGGTCAATGACCTGACCTGACCTTCAGGTGACTTTGACACACACGGGAGTAACATCAAATCACATGTTTGAACGTTTGAAACCACGAAAAGCTTGCAAACACGCGGCTAGTGCGAGCCGACATACGCGAAATCGCGATTCCGGCCAAACATGGTCTCGGAAAAGAGGTCACAGGTCAAAGGTCATTTGGGTCAGGGTCATTAAATTTTCAGGGTAGGTGTAAAATTGATCAATGCGAGGGTACTGAAAGTTTCGTCGCGATCGGCCGCTTTTTACGCGAGTAATTCGCGAAAAACCATGGGGGGGGTCCATCCGACCCCCCCCCCCCTACACATGCGAGGGTTATAATTCTTCCCGCATCAATCGCACCCGGGAGGTGCGTGAGATTGATGCGAGCGTGCTTTCATGTATTTGAATAGGCTCTCGCATGCGATTTCCTGACTGCGGAAAGAGTGTTTCAGGCATAATGGAGTCCGCGCGACGGAGTCGCGAGAGGTCTGGGAAGTTGGACGGCCAGTGGTACACGGTGCCCACGTTTCCCGTAAGATTATCCGCTCTTAAATACTCGACTGTACTCAACAATCCGCATCCATCCGTCGCCACACATAAAAGTCACATAACTTAGCCAACAAAGTGGGCGAATTTTTAATTTGTCTGGCATCATATATGATATATTAAACGTTGGCATGCGCCACACAATTTATTGGATCTAATCACCGTTTTCTGATCCATTTCCCTCGAACAATTTCGTCAGTCCTCGCCGTCTTCCTGGACCGGCAGCTTCTTCCGTCTGAGCCCTTGGATCTTTCCAGTTGTATTGGTCAGTTCGACTGTCGGCGTCACTCAGCATCCTCAGCCGAGCAGTCCGCGGAGCATCCTGTAGCCCTGGGTCATCATGATGACGTCCCCACCACCGCTGGACGGTGCGATAGTGGCATCCGACCACCCTGGCAGCTGCGGCGGCGCTATACCCCTGCTGCATGAGGCATACGGCGTGCTTTCGGCTGCCCACGCACATATAGCTGCTGCCGTGGTAAAACATTCCTCTTGTATGATGTGTTTTGCATGGTGTGATCGGCGTGCTCTCAGCCGCCCATTCAGACAGTTTTGGCTGCTGTTGTAGAATGTTATATCTGTGAGAGGTGAACGGGATGGTCCCTCCCTATTCGCGCCCATTGTCCAACTGTGGCTGCTGATGCGGTGGCAATGTAGCCAGCCAATTGAATGGGTCATATGATGTCTTCTCGGCCACCCTGGTCCGGCCACCGGTACATACATACCTCCTCTTTGATATAAAGCAGGTCGCTAGACACGACGGGTTTCTTTGCGTGGCATTTAACAGCCTCTCAGGGTGAAAACTTATTAAAGGTCTTCCTTCCAATAACAGGAACATTAAAGTTTAAACGGCTTTTCGTAGTAGCCTTCAATTGAATGTTTAAAAAATATATTATAAGATATTTATATTAAAATACCTACAAACTTGACTAATGACGGACAAGCAATGCGAGTTGGATAAGTACACATGAACTATTGCACACCTCAAGCTCACCGGTCCTGTATAACTTTTAAAAGAAGCACATGGAATCGGTCGAGCTCGTACTACATCTCGACACGCTTATACAATTGTGGCGAAAAATTGCTTAGAAGATATGGATTCTCTTATGGTACTTCGAGGTCAGAATTGAACGCATTTGTCAAAGAGCTGCTCAAACGCATACATATTCAGTTGCTTGAAGTACCCAGTTGAATACGAATAAAACCGAAAACAGTTTTGAAAAGTGGCGAGTCTTCTCTATCATCTTATTCTATTCCAACCTCAAAACCATCGACAGTGACTAACGCTATTATCGACGACTTGAAACAATCAGCACATACATAAAATTTGCACATAACAGCATAAAATTGCACATTGCACAAGCATGCTATCTGAATCAATGTCTTGACCATTTGATGCCATTAGGATCGATCGAAATGGGAGTGAGTGAAGTGTTTGCGATGATAATGCTCTCATCATACGCCATCCATTTTGCAATTGTATCTAAAACGCTGCTGATTCTAGCGAGTGCTTAGTATAATCAAAATCCCGTAACAATATTCTCACATGTCACAAGCCACAAGGCTACACCTACTCTAATAGCCAAAACGACACACACAAATCAACAAGATGATATGTCGAGGTTCACCTTTTTAAGCCCCACATCATTCTGCGTGATATATCATAATCAGCTGGCTCACACAAAACACCACGTAATCCATCATTTTTATGATATGTTCCCAAACCTCGTGAGGTAGTTCGGAGGGTACCGCCACATCTCGGCGCTGGCGGTCGGCCGGTGCTTCCACCGAGTCACTTCTCTCAGTGGTGGCAGTGCGCGCGCGCAGGGCACACAGACAGGCCGTGTTGAGCTCCACGGCTCTGCCGTCGACCAGCACCGTCTGTGTCAACTGCTGACACACCGTGAAGGGCACGCCGCCCGCGCACGGTCCTCCGGCAGATACACACGTGGACGCCGTCATGGTCACATCCCCGAGCGTCACAGTCTCTGTGGTAAACGGACACGCGGCACGTGCACCTATCCCCACATCGTCCAACTGCAGGCGAGAGTCGTCCTCGCCGGCACTTCTGGTATTTCTCCGAGACCCGTCTTTGTGCGAGTACACCCGGCGGGGCGGAGCGCGGCCAGAGTGACGCTCCATGCCGGACCGAAGCTGAGAGAGCAGACAAGTGGCGGACACAGCCAACAGACAGGTCAGCACGGCGACAGGTGAGGTCATGACTCCCAGCCGACTGCTCTGGCGATGTGAGCGCGGTCATCGCTCGATGGGTCTTTTGTAGTGTCGTCGTAGTCACCGCGCCTGAGTCAGCGGACAGCTGGAGATCCTGCCAAGGGGAAGTACCCGACCGGTCATGGCGCGTGAGATAAATAGCGGGTGGTCGAGCTAATTCGACTGTGATGGGGCTTGATGGTTATCAGCGTTTCCATGGAAACCGTCTGACGAGTTCTTTTTTATGTGATGTGACATCAAATACATAATCTATTATGTAATATAGGATCGTTTTTTCTCTTACGGATGTAGAATTCCCGTGACGACAGAACTCTCGCACAGAAGACGCACGTGTGTGAAAGCAACCGGCATATCCGTTTGTAGCGGATCCCAGATTCCAACATCCGGATCCGGCTAGTCGTTTCGGATATTTTGTAAAGGTTGTTGAGCGTTTTAAGATTTACAAAAAAGCATTGCATCTTGCTACTGCACACTGCGCAGTGCTTCTTTCGGTTTTAAAACATTCATTGGATCTAAGAATGATGATCCATCATGAGTAAAGTGACATTCGCTTACGTATACCTAACTTCAGAAGCTCTTGGAAAAGTCGCTGAACCGTAGGTATAAGCTAGAATGCGCACGCTACATCACTTCACATTTGTTACTTAAATGTCGAATGACAACATTATGCCAGTGTAAGACACATCATTTCTCCATAATGTGATTATTCATCTTCTTACTGAAGGTATAGAACTCAACCTTTCAAAGATTCTGTAATACTAGGCTTCTGACAGTGACGTTGCAGGCACTGTACTCATTTGACTGGGTTATAGCGATTATAGTATTAGCAAGCCATATAGAGTTGAGATGTAGCCCGAATACTACAATGTTGCGCTACAAAAATAGGCAGCTTCCCTTGAAGCTTTTAAGCACAAAATGGTGCTATGTAGTCATCTATGACATAACTCGCGCCGTGCTGGGGGTGGGGCGTTTTACGCCCCCCCCCCCCTCAGGGTTTTTTGCGAATATCTAAAAACCGGCGGCGACATCTTTTCCACACTTGTGAAAATTTCAAACCCGGGTCGTTCAAGGTCAGGTCACCAGGTCACGTCAAGTGACCTTACCTCAGAAAAAGTGTAAAGGCTCACTATGCTACACCGGCTGAACGATCACTTTGAAACTTTCAGAGATTGATAAGAGTAACAATACGTATAAAATTTATATCTCGGATTTTTATATCTGTGACATAAGGTTGGGTCAATTTTGCGACCTCTCCATTATAAGTCAATGGGAGAAAATTGAAATGCGCCTCCTTTGGACGAATGTCGTTCAAAACCCTCTCAAACATCGGTTCATAGGTAAACATGACACATCGAATCGGAAAAATGCACCTGTGACCTTCATGTGTGCTCCTGAGGTCATCTCAGGTCATGAACGGTCACCAGCAGTTTTTTTTTTGCTATAACTTTTGATAGAGACGTGCTAGAGTGGTGAGAACACACACGTCAGATGTGTTCAGCTTTAACCCGCGCCCGGCTGGGGGTCCTGGATTTCCACGCCCTGCTGGGGGGGGGGTGTTTGAACACCCCCCTTCTAACTCGGCTCCTGGGCCACGTAGCGATACGCGGAAGGCGGCGTTCGAAAGAGCGTCAAAAATAATGAGGAAATCACTTCGGTCAATTTTTTGGTCAGGTCAAAGGTCAGGTCACCAGAGGTCATTGAAGGCAAATTTTCGCCGATTTCCAGGTCGAATGTCGAAAATTTCCAAGAAGCCAACGCATAACTCGGGAACCAATAGAGCTACAGCGCCGCGGAAAAACGCATTCGATAGCCCTATTAACGCCCTTTCTGAGTAATTTTCTCAGATTTGACCTAACGTCAACGGTTTTGCCTGCAGGGGGCAAAAACTGCAAAAATAGCCGACTTTTTTTCGAAAACAGTTTTTCTGCAATAACTTTTGACCCAAGCATTGTACGAGCTTACTTTTACCGGCATCGTGTTCCTCTCGTCAAGACGCATCGAACGAACTATAATTTGACCTTGAAAGGTCAACTTGAAAATTTGACCTCAGGTCAAGGTCATGACCTGACCGGAAAGGGTCATGTTGCATATCAGTCGATCCGTATCGTCGAGCTGAACACATCTAAGGCGTTTTCATCGCTCTAGTATGCCTCTATCAAAAGTTATTTGCGAAAAACTGTTAGATACCATTCGTGACCTAAGATGACCTCAGGGCATAAACAGGGGTCACAGACACCATTTTCATGTTCAGTGTGTCTAAACCACTTGTAATTCAGTGTTTGGGAGTGTTTATAATGTCTTTCGTCCAAAACAGGCGCATTTCAATTTTCTCCCATTGACTTATAATGGTGAGGTCGCAAAATTGACCTGACCTTAGGTCATCGATATCAAAATTCTGAGACATACATATTGTACATGCTAATGCTCTTAGCAATCGCTGAAAGTTTCAAAGCGATCGGTCACTCGGTGTAGCTATGACAGACATTGAAACTTTTTATGAGGTGAGGTCACTTCAAGTGACCTGGTGACCTGACCTTGAATGACCTTTGTCTGAAATTTTCACAACATGTGTAGAATTGATGTATGATAAGGTGTACAAAAAACGGCGGCGCTCCGCGCCGCCGTTTTTGAGATATTCGCGAAAAACCACAGGGGGGGGGGGTGTTCAAACACCCCCCCCCCAGCAGGGCGCGGGTTAAGATACGGATCGACTTATATGCAATATGACCCTTTCCGGTCAGGTCATGACCTTGACCTGAGGTCAAATTTTTAAAATGACCTTTCGGCAATGTCAACGTATAGTTCATTCGACGCGTCTCGACGAGAGGAACACGATGCTGCCAAAGGTAATTTCGTGGCTTGAGTCAAAAGTATTTCCGAAAAACACGAAAACCCTGTGGAAGCTTTACCGTTTACCTGAGGTCAAATCTGAGAGCAACACCCAGAAAGGTCTGTAAAGTGCTATCGAATGCGCTTTTCCGTGGCGCTGTAACTCGATTGGTTCCCGAGTTAGCCGTTGGAGTTTCCAAAATTGTTGGAATGGACTAACTTTGACCTTTGGTGACTTCTGGTGACCTGTCCTTTGACCTGACCTAAGAATTGACCTAAGTGTCTCCATCATTTTTTAACGCTCTTTCGATTGCCGCTTACCGCGCGTCGCTACGTGGCCCAGGAATATCGCAAGAAAGTGGGGGGGGGGGCCAGTAGGTAGTTGAAAGTGGAGGGGGTCGCGCCTCCCGACCCCCCGTCGGCGACGCCCCTGTCTTTACCTGCCGATATTTAGATACCGCGACCCGCGAGGTGGGGCTATTTGATGTGAGTGGGGCTATTTGATACAGACTGCAGCGATTTAGGAAAAAGATATAAATGAAAACCATTTGATATTTCTGCCATTTTTTTGTGCACGTCCATGTAGAATTGAACGGTAAATGTTGAAGATAAGCTTTTCTGAAGTTTTCAAAAAGTTTTGAAATAAATGTAGCCTCAATTATGAAATAGAGAAAGTGCACATTCTATGTTACTTTTAAAGGTCCCCTACCTTCAACATAAAAAGTCAAAATTTTGAGAAGAAAAAAATCCACTAAGTTTATATAATAAGCTATCATTTTGCTAATAAGTAAGTGCCTGACATCAAAATAATAGGTATCGTTAACCGCAATGCCGACTGTTTCACTCAATATCTCATAATCCCTCGGACGCCTGCCTTATCAAGGCTTATATCATAAGCTTGTCCGTTCCAAGATTCCTATGATAGTCTGTTCCATGTCAAGCTTGCGGCCGAAGTGCCCATGGGCCGGTTTGATAGAATGACTATTTTCTTGCTGTGGGCAGTGGCTAGACCTGGTTTTTCACTTTGCGTACGTCACATTGCCTTGCGCCTGTAAAGTGTGCCTGATATTAGGCATTTGGGATCAACTATTTTGCCTCGAGATAACTTTTGATAAATCATGTGCTTTTTTGATCCAGCAAAATACACCGGGGGGTATGGGCCATGGCCCGAGAGGTATGGGCCGGTGGCATGTTTCATATTCTATATATTCTCGACATTTAGCAAATACTTGTAGAGCTACGAGTCTGGGATCCACCTTGATCTCTTTTAGAGCCCAGGAACTGCATAAATGGCCGACAGCTTACTTCATGGAGGTCACTTGGCCACACATTTATTTTGGGTAAACTCTATCAGGTTCCATGACATAAGACAAATAATATTATTCCGTTTGAATACGATTTGTAGTTAAATTTTTTCGACCACGCGCGACAAAGAAAGATTATTGAAGAGGGCGTTGAATGAAAGCATTATTTTATTATTTAGCATCAGTGGGGATGGGTGGCCCGAACCTCCCGGTTAGAACGCCAGAATCCGCGTAGCATCTCAGCTCATAATCTTGCAAGAAAGCTTCAAATTGCGCACCCAGTCTTAATTTGCATGCTTTAAACTTTATGTTAGCGATGTGTGACAAAATAAAACGAGCCTCGTTCACATTAATCACGAATTTTCTGTATGTACCGTATTTTACTCGAAGAGGACAAAAACGCTTTATCACCGCCCATTGCCAAAGGAGACTGAGTATTGTTTTGAAAATCACGTGAGGTGTATAAAGAAATGACTGCTACCAATTTACGTGGTAAAATGTGAAAAAAATATGCAAAACTTCATCAAAACTGCGATGGCCTATACCTCCAGGGGGCCCACACCTCCCGGGTCTCCCCTACATCACTTCGGTTGTCACTCACCCCTTCCTACGAAGCATGCTTCGCATTTCTTCCATTTCCTTTTTTTCACAGAAATCCACATAAAATACCACTCAACGCACAACCGCCTTACCGCGCAAACGTCTCCGTTAACCGTGTAACTTCCACTCACGTTCCTAAATCACTTTCAGATCATCCGGACCGCGGTCCGATCACCACAGCACTGCGCCAGATTGGCCTCTGGCGCGCCGCCCGGCGCGCACCCGCCCCGCCCCCTCTCGGCATCGCCAGACCACTGCAACTGACCCGCAAACGGGCCAGGAAGTCGGTGATTCCCCGTGCAGAGGTGCAAGGTAGCCAAGAGTGGTTAGGGGCTACGACCTGGGTCCAGGATTAGGGTCAATGCCCGATGTATTGATGTGGAGAAGTGGTACATAGTGCTGGAATACGAAATGCGTAACACGGCAGGGGCGTAACGGCCCAGCATGTGGTTGCATACGTAGCATCGGGCGACGGCAGCAAGGCTGCAAGGCTATTGAAGCAAAATATTTCATGTAGCGTGAAATTAAAAGCTGTCGAAAATGAAAATAGGTGTAGGTACAACATGAGTTTTAATCTGTTGTGCTTTGCCAGTACGGTGCAATACGGAGACGGTTCTGCAAGTAAGAGAAACGATGCATAACTTTTGATCAGCCCCTTTATAGTGTATACGAAATCCGGCTTCAACCTTCCCTCAAGGAGTGAGTATCAGCTTGTGATTATATATTCCCGACCGGGGCTGGGAAAATGCGTTTTATTCACCGAGGTTTTTGTGCGGAGGACCGAGTGCCGGTAGGCACGAGGTCCGTAGCAAAAAACCGAGGTGAATAAAACTGCATTTTCACAGCCCAAGGTTGGGAAGAGATTTACCACATGCCGTACCGGCGCAACAGTTAATATCATATTCACATTTTACACTTTAATCTTAATATTGTGTTAATATTATATTAGTACTATGTTCATATTTATAGTCAACGTGATTATTTTTTGTGTTTTTCATTATTGGGCTGCGTTGAGTATGAAAGATGAAATTCCTACTTCCCCTTAGGTATTTAGGGTTTGAAAAAGCTGAGGATGAAGATGGTGAAACTCTAGAAGTTAGAATAAAGATATGGAGTCCAGCAGGAGTGAGGAAACCGTGAGGAAAACTGAAAATTGGGTGAAACGCTGAAACAAACGCGTCTTGGATCCCAGCTGGAACAATATCAAATGTTTCATTGTGGCACGTTAAGATGCTTCACGCATTTAAATTGTTCGTTTTTTGCGTGCATTATGTAGAAATGATTATTATTCCGACGATGTTCTGCAGCAATAAATACATTGGCATTGGAACGATAACCTTGTTTAGTTGAATTACGTTGACAGCAAAAGTAAGTAAACACGCAGTCACTTACTTTTGCTGTTGCTGTTAGTGAACACACAATCCGTAAATATCTTCTTTGAAATTGGTTCTTCCGCTCAGAATATTCAGTAAAATTTTGTCTGGGAAAATCAAAAAGCCCTAGGGCCGAATCGTTTCCCAAATACCTTCAACATTAGCCGAGGCGGGCCGAAGCCATTTCCCAAATGCACGTGCTAATGTTAAAGGGATATCTCGGCATGTGGTAAAACTGAAACATGGGAGATGCTCTTTTAGAAGGAACGTGACGAAGACGTTATTCGCCGTATATCGCTCAGATATCTATAGCAGGATTGCCGGTAAGCTGGTATTCTTGCCGCTAAGCCGCTGAGCTGCGGCAGACGTAAAGATGGGACATAAAGATTTATGAGAAGGTATTGTTCGTTTATTATTACACATGTAAAGCGTAAAAACACAAGCGCAAACACATGAGTAGCTCATCAATAAAAATGTCTTTTTGTGCTTCATGACAAACGCGCATTAAAATATCAATAACAAACAAATACATATAGGTACACTACATAGCAAGGGATGGAAAAGAACGTGGTTTCCTTTGGCGAAACTTACATTCACTATAATAAAATGTTATATATAGTAAAGTATGACCTGGTAAAGTATGAAATATATGAAATAAATTATCTAACACTGCAGCCTCCCTTCGTCAGCTGTCTGCCAGTGCCGTCTTTGTATGACAACCTGCTGCAGCTCCAGCGCCCTGACTGCGGCGGCGGCGCCTGCGCTCCTCCTCCCCATCCTCCGGCGCGCGCAGGGCACACAGACAGGCCGTGTTGAGCTCCACGGCTCTGCCGTCCACCAGCACCGTCTGTGTCAACTGCTGGCACACCGTGAACGGCACGCCGCCAGGACATGGCTGGCCGGTGGAGACGCATGTGGAGGTAGTCAGGGTCAGATCCCCGAGGGTGACCGCTTCGGTGGTGAACGGACAAGCGGCGCGATCACCCAGAGCTTCGTCATCGTCTTCGTCAGGACTACGGGTGTTCCTCTTCAGCGACGGCGTCTCTGCCAGCTTCTCCATCATCGACACTCTATCACTGGGAGGCTCTTGAAGCGCCCAAGTGGAGTTCCGACTCCCAACTGCGATCTCGGACTCGGAGATTTGAGTGACACTCGGAAGAGTTACAATCGGTGAAGCTGCGACCAGTGAACCCAGCGAAAGCAGTGCGATCACAGCGTGGCAGCTCATGTTTCCAGCTCAGGTGAAGATGCGTGAGTAGTGACGAGCTGCGCCAGCATGACTCCTTATCTACCCCGCCGCCGCCGCGGCAGTCCGGTGGCAGTGATTCAGATTTCGGACGGACGCTGTCGTTACGCCGTCATCGGCCCGTCATCGATAATGTCCGTCTGTCTGCCGGGGAAGCACCTACACGTGCCGCGGCGCGCGCGCCCGCGTGCTGCTGCGTGCAGCGCTCCCGCTCGCGCCATCCCACATACGGCCGCCGTGCAGGCGCCGACCCGAAGCGGACCAGTTCTCTCGCCAGGTCGCGTACTCTTTGACCTCTAATCCAAAATGGCCGCTGTTCGTCCATTCGAGCATCCGATAAAACAGGCGCACGCGTCGTGATCCGGTCTAAAATTAGACCCGTGTCGGTCAGGGAAGCTCTGTTTATGTTCGGGAGTGACACTCCATTGGTTGGTGACTGCTCGTGACGAACGATGGCCCCACGGAGGTGGTCTCTGTGAAGTAAAAATGTCTGGCGTGTGTTATGCACACGTGCTCCCGTGACAGTCTCCAGAGCACAGGCGCTGCAAGTTTTAGTGACTTTTCGCGGTATTGTGCGCGGCAACGAACGTTGTCCCAAATAGTGCAAATGTCCTTAGCTAATTCGGTTAGCAACGATTTCATCAGCCAGTCAGCGACCTAAGTTTAGCGGCATGCCTGTCTGTAATCTTAGGCTCCAGAATGACTTGCAACTCAAGACGTAAAAGTTACATCAAATTTAAACATTGACAACAAGCGGAAGTAAAATGAAGTGGGTCATTTAATGAATAAGCAAATAAAGGAAGCTGACCTGTTCCTCGACATCAAAAAGTAGAACCACCGAATAGTATATCAGATAGCGATTTTAGCAGAAAGACTACCTATTCATTAGACCGTCTTTACCGTACCTATGTAACCTAGGGAAGAGAGAGAAAAAGTGCGAGAGAGAGAGAGAGAGAGAGAGAGAGAGAGAGAGAGAGAGAGAGAGAGAGAGAGAGAGAGAGAGAGAGAGAGAGAGATCGGTGAAGGAGTGATAATAGCCGTTTTCACGACGGGCTACCCGGCGAGTGCACCTGATTTGACCAAATCTGCACCTAATCTCTTTTACAGCAAATATCTTTATATTATGAATTTATACCTATCAGTGTTTTAATCGATGATACTGTCTGATAATATGACAAAGCAGGCATATAAGCAATTAGTGCAACCCTAGCTGATAGCTACTAGGAGACACACTGAACTTGATTTGACCAAATCTGCACCTGATCTGCACCAGATGTGCACCAAATGTGTACAGGGACCTGCAGTTGCTACTGTATAGCGACCCAGCACCCTCACAGGGAACAACGATAAGCTGTCAGAGGGTACTCACAGGAAACCTCAGCTGCTCTTGTACAGGGACCAGCAGTCGATATCAATGTTATCGGTTGTTACTTGTTACTGGACAGGACAGACGGTTAGACTTGGGGTTCGTGTACAGTAGCAACTGCGGGTCCCCGTACCAGATGGCCGTCGTGAAAACGGCTAATGTGAGGTGTAAAAGATGGATCATGGAAGCAAAACAATAAGAGTAGAGAGGGAAAAAAAAAACAATAAGATCGCGCACGCCATCGCATCAACGAGCCATCAAATGTGCGGTGGATCCCATGACAAATTTATTACCCGTTCGTTCAGTCATTCACCAAGAATGCCCAGCAGAATCGCCACCAACAGGTCAACGCCAACCGGCTCAAGGGGAGTTCTATAGCTTTGGGCTCTGGGCACTGCGCAAGGCCATATAAGTTGCACTGCGTGCCACCCGATTCCATTGAGACATTGGTCATCACCGTCGTCACAATGAAAAAAAATCACCGGATTACCTGCGAGCGTGATCACTCCCCGTGACGTGATTGCCTCTAAGCTTCCGTCGAGAGGAGTTTCCATGCCATTTCACATAGCTGGCGCTGCAAATGTTCTCCCTCAGGGGACAGTTCGGTGGGCCCGGGGGCAGAGTGCTCTGGTGTACATCATCCGTCATCACGCAGACACAAGAGTCAGTCAGAGTCAGGTGGTCAGTCAGCGGGTTAGGCGGCGTGCAGAGCCTCTTTCTGTTTTGAGGCGAGAGAGAGAGAGAGAGAGAGAGAGAGAGAGAGAGAGAGAGAGAGAGAGAGAGAGAGAGAGAGAGAGGATAGAGGACGAAAATAATTATTATCGGAGTAGTTTTCCGCCTATTTGTAATTGTATCGCTCCCAGAGATTTGATCCTCACGAGTGTTGAGCGATTTTGATAGACCTTCAGCTGCTTGCCCCCATTCCGATATCATTCGGTAGCTCACCTGAGCTCATAGCTCACATACAGTCAAACGATCCACCTGGCACCTGAGGCCTGAGATGGACATTTTACTTGCCGAGCGCTCCCGGACGCGCTAGTAGGTACCGGCTCTTAGTCCGTGGTTATATCATCAGAGAAAACCCAAAACGTCGCCCGGGAAAAACAGCCGGATATATGCCATCGATGGAA